TCCTTGAAAATAGAGGTCGAAAACCCGCATCACCTTCCAAATAATCTGATGGAAAATGCGCCTAAGGCTTCAAAATTTGCTAGAATCACATTAAATATAACACCTTAGATCCACCAGCCCTGGAGACACCATTGTAACCTCTTGTGAAACTGCCTCGTCACCAACGGTATCGACGTATTCAATACACAGAAACAACCTACCCATTTAGAAGTGCTACCAGGCAGTTATATAAAAGCATTCTGTGACGAACAGGCATTCCGGTGACTATCATGAGACTCGGCCACTGAAAAAACAGGCATTCGTGCTGTATCTATATGCTAGAACTATACGCAAACTCTAGCTCCATACATCTTTCGACTTGTCCACGATCTTCTTCAAAATTTCCCATGAATGAAGTTCTGTGTCAATCTCGAAGTGGTGATCAGCGCATCCGTAGCCAGGAATTTCGAGCTCAGGACCAAGTCTCAACCGAGCACCCTGATTGTACGCGTCTTCGCAAGCTATAAAAAAGTAAACAATTTAATATAATGAGTTTCAAATAGAACAGAAAAAGGATTACTTAAAATAAAAACCAGATGACCAACTTTTCAGAATACGCCGGCAGTTCCCTGTGAAATCTAATGCCCAATTGTTTACAGTACATACTGATAGCCGGACATGACGGCTCCACGATAACGCCATTTAAAGCAACAACCCCTACGGCAGAAGCGCTCTAAATAGAATTATTAGTAGCAATAACCATGTTCAAACAACTCCTACTCTCCAAAAGCGCAAACACAGTAACCATTCAAAAGGAGTTTACTCGAAGTAGCAATCGAAGCAATGGATACGGTATAGATGTTCTAACAAGACAGCACAGAGCTCGTCACAAGTTTGAACAACTGCAGCGATAGCGACTAATCGCTGGCAAATTGGGTGATTCGCTAGCGATTGGTCGCAAAGTGTGAGGGAAGAGGTACCTAGGTGTCAGACTTCACGATTGCAATCACCAAGTCTGACACCTACCCAAACTCACATTCTCACCACTTATGCAACGTGCCCTTTTTAGAGGACCTGCTTTTAAGCCTCTTTTAAAGCAATCTACTCCGCTTGTCCTAATCTGAATTACTTAGATAAAATTAAGTAGCAGCGTGAAAGACAGACTCTGAAACACAACTAATTCTGGAGGAGGTAGAGATTTCGAATAAGATTCCAGAAATGAATTTCCCACTCATAATCACAGGTATAGTATATTGAAAATATTGTGGCTCCTGAAGATAACTGGGGAGGTGAAAAAGCTGAACAGGTGGCTTCCGCATGGGCTGACTGAAGCAGCAGCAAACCGTCTTCCCAAGGGGTCGTTTCCACCCGTTTTACGTAACAAAAACTACTAGTATTCGGTATGCATTGTCATCTACGACGGAAAATGGACTCTTTACGATTACAGAAGCCATCTCTCTAATAGTTTGACCGCGATGAATCTTCAAAAACTTCTCCAAAGCCGAAATTATAGAAGATTAAAGTTGAGCTCAACATTCGGCGGTCTTCCACGGGACTGATGCAACCACCTCTTGGAACCAGGTGGAATTTGACACAACACCAATGTCTCTCCAGCATACCGATGAGATGCTCTAGAAACATCAAGTTCGTCAACCGAGAGAAGTAAACAAAGCCTCCTTCATGGTGGCGCTCAGCCACACGTCCCATAAACGACCTCGCAAGTATTGAACAAACTGGCGTACGAAGCTTTGATCCACATTTCTTACTCATTGGACCTCTCCTCACCAATACCACCTTTTCCAACCATCTCGAGATCATTCTCGAGTAAGAAATGCTTCCATGTTCGAACTGATGTGAGACGCTCGACGATGCATCGCCTCCAGAAGCACTGATTTTAAGGCCGATGGCAGACTTTGCGAATCGCTAGCGTCCGCGGTCGCGTTGCGGTACCAGCCAATTGAGTGATTCACTGGCCGCGACGCGACCGCAGACGCTAGCGAATCGCGCGATTCGCAAAGTCTGACATCGGCCTAATGTGGAAAGGATGTTTGACGATGCAACTTGTTAAGAAGAATTAGCGCTTTCTAATGGTTTTTGCAAGAACTGAAAATGTTGACTTTGAGTGAAAATATGCCTCCTTGAAAATAGAGGTCGAAAACCCGCATCACTTCCCAAACAATCTAATAGAAAATGCGCTTAAGGTTTCAAAACGCTAATCGCTAGAATCACATTAAATATAACACCTTAGATCCACCAGCCCTGGAGACACCATTGTAACCTCTTGTGAAACTGCCTCGTCACCAACGGTATCGACGTATTCAATACACAGAAACAACCTACCCATTTAGCAAGTGCTACCAGGCAGTTATATAAAAGCATTCTGTGACGAACAGGCATTCCGGTGACTATCATGAGACTCGGCCACTGAAAAAACAGGCATTCGTGCTGTATCTATATGCTAGAACTATACGCAAACTCTAGCTCCATACCTCTTTCGACTTGTCCACGATCTTCTTCAAAATTTCCCATGAATGAAGTTCTGTGTCAATCTCGAAGTGGTGATCAGCGCATCCGTAGCCAGGAATTTCGAGCTCAGGACCAAGTCTCAACCGAGCACCCTGATTGTACGCGTCTTCGCAAGCTATAAAAAAGTAAACAATTTAATATAATGAGTTTCAAATAGAACAGAAAAAGGATTACTTAAAATAAAAACCAGATGACCAACTTTTCAGAATACGCCGGCAGTTCCCTGTGAAATCTAATGCCCAATTGTTTACAGTACATACTGATAGCCGGACATGACGGCTCCACGATAACGCCATTTAAAGCAACAACCCCTACGGCAGAAGCGCTCTAAATAGAATTATTAGTAGCAATAACCATGTTCAAACAACTCCTACTCTCCAAAAGCGCAAACACAGTAACCATTCAAAAGGAGTTCACTCGAAGTAGCAATCACTTTATTTGAAGCAATGGATACGGTATAGATGTTCGTCCTACAGAGGACAGCACAGAGCTCGTCACAAGTTTGAACAACTGCAGCGATAGCGACTAATCGCTGGCAAATTTGGGTGATTCGCTAGCGATTGGTCGCAAAGTGTGAGGGAAGAGGTACCTAGGTGTCAGACTTCACGATTGCAATCACCAAGTCTGACACCTACCCAAACTCACATTCTCACCACTTATGCAACGTGCCCTTTTTTAGAGGACCTGCTTTTAAGCCTTTTTTAAAGCAATCTACTCCGCTTGTCCTAAATACTTGACTACCCTTAGAACAATTACAGTAGGGCAGGTTCTAGAAAATGAATTTCTCCACTCTACCATGATTCAGACAAAAAGACGGCAATGCTCCCACATCTACCATCTCAACTTAATCTCGCTAGCACTGCGATATCGAAATTCCGGCTAATCATTTCCACGATTATCTCCCACCGTTCACAATTCTTCAAAGTAATTCGTGAAGAGAGCACTAGAATGACACCTAAACATGAAATTGTTCGATTCGACCCCTCTCCTTCCCGTGGGGTTGTAATAGCGGAACAGTACTATACAGGGGCAACTTAGTTGGCGGGGCCCCGCGCGGCGCCGCACACACACACACCAACAGTCTGCTCACCTGGGCTCTCTCGAGCGAGACAGTGTAAACTCGAACATTCCAGCTTTTCACGCATGTCAAGTGACTGCCCCCACCCCCCACCCCCTAGGCTGGCTACACTCCCCCTGGCCCACGGATTTCCGAACATGCCAGGCGAGCAGACTGCCGCGCCGCCGCGTGCCCCCCCCCCAACTAAGTTAGCACCAGCTTCTTGTTAACTTCGTATAGCATACATCTCCCAGAAGCAATGTCAACGGCAAACTCCTTAACAACGTTACGATGCAGATGCACACAACAAGTCAATAAAATAGCTGAACAACAGCAGCCCAGTTCGCCGCTCTCTCATTCTGCTCAC